GGGGGGGGGGGGGGGGGGGGGGGGGGGGGGGGGGGGGGGGGGGGGGGGGGGGGGGGGTTGCAGGGTGTGTGTAGATCGGTGGCGCCAACACAACGACAAGGAGGCTTAACTCCGCTACCGAAGTATATGAGAGCAAGGCTCTTCCCTGCTCGCTATGATACTATGTCCGCACGGTAGTTGATCCTCGTCTTGAGAACCCCCCGCCCCTGGTGGTACAGACTGACCACCAGATCTTACCCGCCTCACACACACACACATCTGATACCCATATTTCGTCCCCCTTTCTCTCATGTAAAACTCGTCGTCTCGCAGGGAGAGGGCCTCTCTCGATGTCGCCCCCGCGGCCGCCGGCCTTGAGTTCGAGTTCGAGAAGAAGGGGTTCCCCCGATCGAGGCTGAAAGAGCTTATCGCCAAGGAGATCGACCACTTCCAGGCGGGCGGGGCCAACCTTACGCTACACCCGAAGAAGCGGCTTCAGCGTCAGCGCCCACGGCCGCAGCAGCAGCAGCAGCAGCAGCAGCAGCGTGTCGGCCCTAGCGTCAGCGGTGCCGCCGACCTCTCGCTCAAGACGGCCGCAGCCGCAGCCGCGGCCGCGGCCACCGCATGCTCATCGGCATCCTTTTCTTCCGAGTCTGAGTCCGAGCACTACGGCGACGATGAGGAGGACGAGGAGGACGAGGAGGAAGGGGACGGCCGCGACGACGACAGCATCACAGGACGTGAGGACCAGGGCCTACATGCCGACGGCGGCGGTGGCTACGCCATGCCGGGTGACGGCGATGACGACGACGACGTTGCCCGCCTTGATGCCGCCAGCCTGCAGTCGTCACGACTGTGTCCGAAAGAGGGAGAGGAGGACGGGACGACCATCAAAGGAAGGTGCCGCAGCGAGCCCCGTGGGACGCCGCTGCTGGAGGTGACGGCGTCGTCGACCAGCAACGAGAGCGGCAACGATAACGATGATGGCGACGGCATGACTCTGTCGTCCTCTTCTCCGGCGTCGTCGTCCTCGTCCTCGTCCTCCTCCCCCTCCTCCTCCTCATCGTCTGAGGGGGGCTACGCAGACGATCGAGTAATCTTCTTTGAGAGGGTCACGACCGGCTACGCACACGGCCGTGGAAGCAGGAGAGGGGCGCCGTGCGGCGACCACCGAACCACGAAGACGAATCCGTACAGGGAGCACGAGCCTGACCGGCTGAGGGCGACAACACTGCCGTTGGCAAGCGGCGATGCGGCGAGAATCGGTGTGGGGCGGCCGCTTGGCGGCGGCGGAACCCACCGCTCCCCGCCTCGCGTAAGATCGAGGACGCAAGACGGCACCAGCGACTTTCTCCTCATCCCGGCGGAGGAGAGCGCCCAATCCCTGTCGCCTCCTTCTCGAAGTGATCGAAACGACGGTAACGGCAACGACAGCGGGGTCGTCGTCGTCGCTAGCGAGAATGTCAAAGAAGGCGGGAGGGGCTGCTTGGAGGAACAGGAGGAGGAGGAGGATGAGCCGCGTGTGTTCCCTCGGTTCGACAGCCTTGCCGAGACAAGCCCAACTGAACCCGACGGGTCCGTACGGTCTGTTCTGTCGCCGTCGCCCGCGGCGGTGGTCCCGCCCGCGAGGCCGACCAGGCGGGGCGCCGTGGCCGGCTTCGTGCGCGGGAGCGACGGGTGGGTAGGCAGCGACGGCGGCGGCACCGGCGACGGACGAAACTGCAACTTGTTCGTCGGCCTACAGTCTCCAGTGTTGGGGACGGCGCCTGGAGGCGAGTTGATCCTGCCCCCCGGAGTAGCAGGTAGATCAGGCGGCGGTGGCGGTGTCGTTGGTGTGGGATCGATCCAGTCCGAGGAGGAGGAATCGGCGAATGGCAGCGGCGGCGGTTTAACGTTCCGCGGGATGGCCACCGTCGATGGCAAGAGCACCGTGTCGGAATCGAGCTCCGCATCGGACACTCTTCGTCGCGAAAGAGCGGAGCGAGCGTGGCATGTCGTGGAGGAAGCCAGGGAGAGGCTTAGAGCTAGAGCGGACGCGGTGGTGGTGGCGGCGGCGGCGGCCAAGGCGCCTCCAGTAGGAACGTGGCGGGCTGAGCGCGCTGCCGCCGTCGCTTCGGAGAGTACAAGAACGGCGGCGGCGGCGACGGCGGCTGCGTTGACGGCACCTTCGTTTGACCATGCGGAGAAGTGGCCGGTCGAGTTTCCCGGCGGCGGGAGCAAGTGCTCTGGGTCGTCCAATATTGCCAAGGGTTGTATGCGGCGCCTCCCCTTGTCCGTTGCGACCCTGGAACAGGCGACCGAAAACACTTCGTGGCTTCTTCGCGAAGGCGGCGGCAGCAGCAGCAGCGCGGCAAAACCAACGAGCAACGGCAAGAGCGGCGCTGGCGTTTGTGGGGGCAAGAAACAAGCCCCGCTCATGCATCATATCCCGTCGCCGCGGGTGGTAAACGGCGACCCTTTCTGCGATTTCGTGAGCGGCAAGACGTCGTTGGTGACGCACGGCGACCCTTTCTGCTACTACTATGTCAGCGGCAAGACGACGGTGTCCCCGACTTCGACTTCTGGCCCTGCCCCGGCCCCCGTTCCTCCAGCTGCTCACCCCGCAGCGGCTCCGGCTCCTACTGCCCAGGCTCCGCCCGCTCCAACCGGTTCTGGTTCTGGTGCTGGCTGCAAGGTTCCCGTCATGGTTGTCGGGCAGAAGCTCCACGTTCGAGGCGCGTCCGCCGCCTACGTAAAACGCGAAGGCCCGCGGCTTTTCTTCGGCGGGTCCGGCGCCAAGAAGTCCGGCGGCACCGGCGGCACCGGCGCTAAGAAGCCCGGCGGCGGCACTCGTCGCAGCCACCACCCCCCGCGGGCACCCGTCGCGACGGTGCACGGGGACCAGCAGCCGATCAAGCTCCGCCCGGCGGTACCAGCGAAGCGTTTCGATCTTTCTGTGGCGGACATCGACACTTCGTCCGTGACGTCGTCGCAGGGCAGCCCGCCGCCGGTCCCTCCGCCCCTCAAGAATTGCTACTCCCGGGGAAGGAAGCTTTCTCGCGTGGGGTCCTTCAACCGCAGCGGCAGCGGCCGTCACCGCGCGCCCACCAGGGTGACCGCCGACGGCCGTGTTGGCGTGTATCCCGCCGCCGTTGTAGTCATGGACTCCGGGTTTGGGCGAGGCCGCAAACGAGCGGCGGCGCTGCCGCCGCCGATCGCGAAAGCAATAAGGGCGAAGGCGAAGGGCGGCGGGGGTGGTCGTGCCACGAAGAGCGGACCCGTCTTGGCCAGGCCCCCGCGTGGGGCGGCGACGCCGGTGTCCGCGGGGGAGAGGGCCGGGACCCGGACCCCGTCGCACGAGAAGTACTATTCCGTTAACGACGTGGTGACGCTGAAGCTTCCCGACAGGTTCTGCGCTTCATCACCGTGGCAGAACCGGGACCCCGCGTTGAGTCAGACACGCAACCGCGCCGGAACACGATCGTCGAAGCCCGTTGACCCCAGTCGTGTCACGATCAGCGCGTCCGGTAAGCCGGAGTCGATCCTGCCGGCGGAGATGTTGTGCCAATGGGCAGACGACGACGACGACGACGACGACGACGACGCGGCTTCTGTGTCGGAAGAAGAGGAAGCCGGGGCGGGAGCGGTAGCAGCGGGAGCGGCAGCGGGCGAGGGGGGTGGGGGTGGGGGCAGCGGACTTTCATCCTACGAGGGATCTCCCACCACGATGGTCGCCACAACCACCTCCCCGGGCGCCGCCGCCGCCGAAACGTCCGTCACTGATGATGCCGTGGATGATACCGGCGACTCACCCCTGACTAGCACCACCACCGACGTTGCGGCTGTGCCGGAAGCAGAAGCAGAAACACGCGCGCTAGGGCCAGGTTGGGACACGGCGTCGCTCGCGTCGGCCGTGCCGGAGGCGCCGGAAAACGAAACGAAAGGGCACGATCACGTTGATTCTCCTCCCAGCTATCAGGCCGCCTGCCCAGCACCGCAACAGGTCAATGGGCATCATCAGGGAGCCGCGCAGAGAGCTGGGCTTGCACGACCGCCTGCAACAGAGACGGTTTGCAACGTCATCAAGGAGGAGGAGGAGGAGGAGGAGGAGGAGGAGGAGGTGGTGGTGGAGGGGGGCGAGGCTAAAGAAGGCGGCGGTGGTGGCGATAACGACGAGATGATGTCCGCCTCCTCGGCGGAGCAAAAGTTCACCCTCCTCCGACGCCTGTGGAAGCGCTCCGGCGCCGTGAGGGGCTCAGGAAAGCAGCGCCGCGGCAGCATTTTGTCGAAGACTCGGTCCTACGGCGGCGGCGGCAGAGACATCGCGGGAAGTCGGGTTTCGTGGGCCGGCGCCGGGCCTCCGTTCAAACGGCCGCAGCAGCAGCAGCCGCGGCCGAGGAGAGCGGGCAGTCTGAAGCTGTTCGAGGACATCGGAGAGGATGACGACAGGGGCTTTGGGGACGAGACGGCGTCCCTGCCGACCCTCATGGCCCGAGCCGAGTCTCTGTTTCCGATCCCACCGAGGATGGACGTAAAGGTTTGTGTGTATACGTACTTAGCGGCGGACACAGAAGTAGATAGGTTCGTTGCTTGCCTAGCTTACATACAAGAAACATCGATAGCGCCATTCCGGCGGTCATTTTTGCTCAATTCCTCATTGTCTCTGTATTGTTGGTCGGTTCAACGTCGCCAAGCTGTTGCTCTAGCAACTCTTCTGGTTGAAATGCAGCAATGCCATGGACGGTGTGCCCACGCGGTATTTTCCACGGTCATCCCACTAACCTCGACATCCACTCTCATCATGGAACCTTTTTTGCGGTGTTGCCACGAGGTAGATGCTGGTTGGCCCCGAAAGCAAACCGAACAAGGGCCGGGATTGGTTCAGCCAAAGCCCGCAAGGAGCTAGGCGCGTGGTTAGACCAGTATCAGGAGAGAGAGACCGAGGCAGAGTGCCCAACACATGAACACCGAAGCCTGACGCGATTTCTTCCACACCCTCCCCCGTCCCTCACTTGCCCGTCTCTCTCTCTCTCTCTCTCTCTCTCTCTCTCTCTCTCTCTCTCNTCTCTCTGAAACGCTCGCGGTTGTTCCAACAAAAACAACGTTCCAGCCGCAGGTCTCGACGTCCTCGCAGCAGCAAGTGCAGGACGCGCCTCTGCCGGGGACGGAAGACAAGTCCCACTCGCGCAGCATCAGCAGCCAAACGACGACAACCACGGGCACGAGCCCCGCCAGCAGCGCCACCAGCGGTTACCGGTTTGACGGGCCGCAGGCGCTGTCGCTTGTTCACGAAAGCGTCGGTCGGTCGGGCTCGCCGCCCACCCGACGGGGCTCCGCAGTCAGCTCCGTGGGTTCTGGCTGTACGGCCGCCTCGTCGCTGAGGCCGGGGGGACGGCGGCGCAAGGATAACATCGTTCGCGCCGTGCAGTTCGCTCCGCAAGAGGAGGAGCTGACCCCGGTTTCGGGGGATGGTGGTCCGCGAGAGCACCGCTCGTAGTGGTCAGGTCGGCGACGGCGATGGGGGTCAATTCAAGACCGTTACTTTGTTGCGGCGCCGCCCCCTCCTATTTCCACTGCCGCGAAGCCGTCCCCGCCGCCGCCGCCCCGGGGCAGCGGCACCGTTTGCCGTTGAGCAGGAGAAGACAAGACGCAACCGCCGGCCGTTACCACCGCCATCTCGTCCTCCATCGCTACAACAGCAGTAGCATCGACAACGGCAGCGACACAGCCGGGGAAGGAAGAGAGCACTCGGTGGACACGTCGTCTCCGTGGTTCTTGTACCTTTGAAGAGATGGGTTGGCGCGGCGGACAGGCCGGCTCGGCATATCTTGCTTCGGGTCCGACAGGAAACGTTAAACCTTAGAAAAATCGAGAGGGGGGACAAGGGCGGGAAGGACACTGAGTTCATTGGTGGGATCATTGACGCAGGAAGGGGGACGTCACATTCAGGAAAACCTGATGGTGATATCTACACGAGACAACTGTAGGATACGTATTTTGTAGAGTAAGCGTTTTTCGTCTCGTTTCACGTCGATTTTTCACGAAACGGTGTTGGGAGGAATGGAACGTATTTAGTTATTATGCGAATCATTTATTGGGAGGGAGGGACGGTAAACGACAGTATTCAGGTTGGCCGGTCTTCTTCTTTGTTTCTCGTGTTTTTGTTTTGGTCTTGACTTGCGGATGTCTCGTTTGTTTCATGATCCATTTTGGTGTTTGGCCGTGCAGATCGGAGGCTTTGGACCTTTGGGGGGGGTCGCGGCGACCCACCGAAGCTTCGTTTTTGCGGCGTGCATCGCGTGTATGGTTGATTGGCACCGACCGTGCCACCCAACGGACCGATGAATTAACGTCAGTCGTGTGTGGTGTGCCTGCTGGATTGATATTTCTTGTTCACGTTTGCGTTTGGCTGGTTTTTGTTTATTTGTGGTGAATTTGTGATGCTTGTCTGTAGCCCCCTCTTGTGGCCGTCATGTCTTGCATAGATCGGATGAGGAGGAGGAGTAGCGAAACATGAACACAACCGGATGGGTGGTTGGTGGCATCGCGAGGAACAATGCAGCAAGATTAACTGCTGCTTCTTTTTCATTTTTTGTCGACAAGTACTTGTTTTGCCGTGTGGTGTGACTGCCTCTCCTGCCCAGGGGAGAGGACGCCGGCGCTGCGGGAGGCAAGCAGGCATTTCCGAGGAATCGTCTGGGTTTTCTATGTGATCGACCGTAGACTATGGGCGATTCACGCTGCTAGCCAATACTCTCATTACAGTAACGTGGAGTTGCTGCGTGGACGTGTGTTGTGCGTTTGCCGGCAACGAAAAATGCGGCGGTATTTCACGTTTTTTTCTATCCAGGATTCCCTGCGCACCGTAGTTTGTGTGGGCGGGGGGGACGATGGCCCCGACTGGGGGTAGGCGTCTCTTTCGGCTCCTGTGTATGTGAAGCGATCTTTTACACTGCATGTGCGTGTCATTCTCATATTACGGCGATTTCACCAAGATCATCGATCGATTGACCGATCACATAAACGAGAAGGAGAGGGATTTTACTTTTTTTGTTTTGCGTTGTTCTGTAGGTGATGGGACACCGCGCACCTACATGCTGCTGCTGCTGCTGCTTGCTGCGTAACTTGGGTGTGTTTTTGATGCATGTTGAGCGACTCTTGAGTAAAATTGTTGGGTTGGCCGAGGTGATCGTGTCTTTTGGTGTTGTTTTGGCTTGCCTTCAGATTCTGTCATGTGCCTGCGTTTCATGGGGTACGCAAGGATATGGGCGCTTTAGTTACGTAAGAGGGGGGGTGGGGGATCGACCAAAACGTGGTGTACTTTGTCGCTCGTGATGGTTGGTCTCTCTCTCCACCATATATCCAAGAGTAGGAACGCGTGGCGCGGCTTTTTTTCGTTGCCCCGCGCTTTGATTTTGGTCGACCACACGCGTTGCCGGAGATGAATCTGGATGTACATTGCTTGCGTTCGCTGGGCGATTTTTTGGGCTCTTCACTACGCGTATCGTGTCAGTTTGCTGGCATGACAGCCACAGATTTGTAGGCTGCGTTATTTTTATATATATATTCGCATGGCACGGATGGGCGCGAAAAACGAAAGAAAGCGTGCATGCGACACATAAAAGTGCAGGGGTTCACACGTGCTCTCGGCGAAGTAGTTCCCGCTGCACAAGCTCGTATGCATACTCACTCTCTGTCGTAGACATCACACGGAGCTCAACAAAAGGTATGCATACAAGAGGAGAGCTTCTGTAAACGCCCTCTTTTATTTTTGTGTTGTCTAATCGTTGCTCGATGCTTTGTTTTCCCCCTTTCTTGTCCTTGTTTCTGGCCCTTCTGAGAAGAACGGCACGGTTGTGAGCATCGTCTCGTTTCTTTCTTTTGTGATGGTCTGTTGCCAATCTCGTTTGTCCTCGGTATGCTTTAATAATAGTCGTTGTTGTTATGCTTTTTCTGTCGTAGTTTGCTGTGGCTTGCTTTTCTACCTGCGGGCTCGGCTGATTCTTCTTTTTTGGGTAAAATAAAAACGCTACGGCGACTACTGTGACACAGTTCCTTATCGTTGTTGTGGCGTTCAAGGTTGGCTAGTTGGGCAGACTCCGACGCTGGTTTGTTCGGTTGCCAATCACGAGGAACGTGTAGGTTGCAAGTGTCGACTTTACTTTTTTCTCGTATTTCTCAGCAAGCTGGTGGCTAGCTGATGTTTTTTTTTTATTGTGTCACGCGTGATATGGGGCAAGAAGCGCGACTTGATGCACGCCCGAACGACTTGAGCCAGAAGTCTGATGGTTGAGGCGAAGAGGGTTTTGTTTGTCGAAACTGCATTGTCCACATTATTGATCTTTAGTCTTGTGGATGACATATATATATAGCATGGTTGCAACGTACACGTGTTGATCGGGTTGCTCCTCTCGCCGTTACGTTTGATTGATTGTGTTGTTTTTTGGGAGCGCGGGGGGGTGAGAGGGGTAAGTAAAGGGCTTGGGGTGAGGGACGTTGGCTGCGTGACGCAAGTACAACGCGCGAGGAACGTGAGGACAAAGACTACGGCCAGAGAGAGCGGCAGCATAGTAATGATGTGGGTATTACATGCGTATGCATGGATGCGTAGACGTTTCTTTTGCTGGGGGTCGGGACAGGAATGCTACCTTCTTGTCGCAGAGTCTTTCTCCCATCTACATATATATATATTCTCGTTGTTGTTTCCGGTCGGTGCGTTTAATATTGCGCATCAGTTTTCATTGTGTATATATGAATTTCTTACTTTGTCTACACCAAGAGTAACCTGCCTACGGGAAATGCACGGTAGGAGGAATTAGTAGGGGATGTTTATGTGAACGCGTCAGTGGATTTTACAGAACTCCATCAGCAATTATTGTTTTCGGTCTACGAAAGGACTTGTGGTAGAGTAGACTGAGGATCCACCGCGTGGTTGACGGGGGGAGGGGGACGGGGGGTGGTGGTGAAGTTGTGAGTCACGACGTCATTCTCAAGGGTGATAACCTCCTTGCGTGTATATTTTGTTGCTTCCTGGAGTGATTGTGAGACGGACGGCACGACTACATAGAAGATGGGCGACACGGGAAAAATAATAAATAAAATAATAGGTCAAACACGGCAATCAGCCAGCCAGCCAGCCAGCCAGCCATCACTCATGGGGGACATGGCAGACGGCCACCGATGCACATCGTGCGGGTAAATAAACAAGAAGCAATTCGTGGCGCCATTGTTTCTGATTTCACGTAGGAGCTTTTCTGCCCGGGGTACTATATAGTCTTCTCTTCTCCTATTCCGTAGCTTTCAGACCCTTCGGTCAGGTGAAGGACACAGCGGGATAGAACCACAGGAGAGGCCATCCCGGTCTGTGAGTACGAAGTTTCGCAATGTTACCCCACACCGAGCGTCGACAACGAGCACGCAGCAACACCAAGACGAGCTTGGAAACAGCGAAGAGGGAGATCACCACAACACACGCACACTGGCATGTTTCATGTCGGGCTACAGCGGCAGTACCCACACCCAGGGGTCCGTGCATGCTTCTATTTAGTATTATCGTCTGCCCGCCCGTCCTCTCCCCAGACCACTTCGACTAACGTGATGATGATGACGCTCTGGTATTTGTGCAATCTATTTGTTTATAGTCTGCTTTCTTCGCTCACTTGACTCCATCTGTCTGGGGTTCTTCGGAATGAACGCCCCAAAGCAATCATCATCAAACATCTCGTTGGTATGTTGAACAAGCCGCATAGCAGCATGTTGGATATACTCGCAGCAGTATCTGGCCGTGAGGATCCCAAGGGGATACGTGTTGGGAATTTCGTGTGTTGTAGGGTACCACCGGTGCAGTCACTGGGACCCTTCGGGCGCGGTTGGAATGATGAGCCTTGCGTGCGTACTGCGGACTTCTTCCTTCTCTCTCTCCACCGCCACCGTCGTCTCTCTCCAATCAAGTTTCCTTCTCCCACTCTCTCTCCACCTCTCTCTCAACCTGTCTTTCTCGGCCTAACACGGCCGACTACCCAGTGCCCCAAGTAACGCCCATGACGGGCTTGATGCACCCCGCGTAGTTTACCTTTCACGTGCGATATCACGGTATCTGCGCGTGGGCGTAGCCTTCCGGGGGTTGTGCAGTCACGCGCAATCGGTAGACTTCCACAACAACAGACACCATGGAGGGCATCGACCTCTCCGCCCTTAGCGGGGAAGAACTACAACAAAAAGTGGAGGAGATCGTCCAGCAACGAGGACAAGCCGAACTTGAAGCCAACAGGATCAACGAGGGTGAAGTTACCTACGCCCAACCGCCAGCCGTCAACCCAGTCCCACCTACTGGCAACCAGCCATCACCCTCCAGCCAGGGCAAACCAGCCACCTTCAACGAACCCAGCAGCGTCGCACACATCGTGTCGCAAGCAGCTAAGGCGACAGCTGAGGCCATTGCTGAACAACAGGGCTTTGCCCTCAGGCACGTTACGTGTCAATCCTGGCTCAGAAATATAACCTTGGCTTGGTAGCGTGAAGAATGAGCAGGACTTGTATATTATGTTTGATATTTTTCGTAGTAGGATGATTTCATATTTTCAGGAGGAGGGTGTGCATGATGCGTTGGAACTGGAGGTCGAGGTCAAGGTCGGAAAGAGGGGTGTGAATGTAGCAGAGCTTCGGAGACCTTTTGGCAATGATGTGATAGACAAGTCTTTCAAGCCATGGAATATTCTCATGAGCAAGGTCTTGTACCCCCCGATTCAGAGCTTGATTCTGGCGTGTGAGAGTCCACAAAAAGGCTGGAAAATAGTGACAGAGTTCTATCAGGAGAAGAAGCAGTCAGAAAAGTCGAGGTTGGAGCAGGACTGGAAGGAGTTGGAGAAGAAAGCGTCTGAGAGTCCACAGGACTATATTGCCCGGGCAGAAGCCCTTCGCTTGCGTCTAGCGTCTGTAGGCATGATTAAGGATGAAACAGATGCCAACAAAGAGATTGCTCGTGGCCTTCCCTCTTCGTACGTCGTGCACAAAGGAATACTGCTTGCCCACGATGTCCTGACGTTGCGTACCCTTGAGACTGTGGTGAGGGACGCCCACGTGGAGATGGAGCGCGAGAGGAGCAAGGGGGAGAGGCGCGAGGTGGAGCTTGCTCTCGCCGCGTCCGGCATGGGCCGGCGCGGCGGGGGCAGTGGGGGGACATCCGGAGACGGCGGTCACGTAGCAGCTGGCGGCCAAGATCGAGACGGCGAGAAGAAAAAGGGTGACGTGTTCAACGACGACCCCGGCGGGTTTTGCCGCTACCACCAGTCCGAGCTTCACACCAACGAGCAGTGTCGTCTCCAGCAGCAACTGCGGCGCGCGCGTTCGAGAGAGGGCGCCGAGGAACGCCGCTCGGGCGGCGGCAGCCGCGGTGGCGGAGGTAGCCAGCGAGGGGGTAGATCGCCGCCGGGGCCCGGCCGCGGTGGCGGGCGATAGGTGAGGATAGACGGGCAGCAGCACCACACCGGTCGTGGTGGCGGTGGCTGGAGCCAAGCCTTACCCTCCCCGCGACCTTTTCGTGGACGTGGGCCTGGGGGTCGTCTGGGGCGTCACCCGGGGGGTCGTGGGCCCGCGGGACGCCACAGCAGCGACGGGCGTGCCGAGAGAGAGCGGGCAGGGAGAGGCCCGGAGCACGCGCGTTCTGGCCACGGAAGAGAGCAAGCGTACGTTGTGTACTACGCCCACGATGATGGTGGCTACTGTGAAGACTACGGCGGCTACGATGACGGGTACTAATACTACGACGGCTACCACGACGCCGGGTACGCTCACTACGCCGGCGGTGGGGACAGCTGCAACTACTCCTCAGGGTACGGAGACAGCCGTTCATCTGACACGCGGGGGGGGGCTGACGTGGCTACTAGGATATCGAATCTTCGCCAGCGGGAGGGTAGTAGACGTTGTGGATGCCGCCGTTTCCTGTTGTGATCTCACGCGGGGGGGGGCTAACGTGGCTGCTCGGACAACGAATCTTCGCCAGCGGGAGGGTAGTAGACGTTGTGGATGCCGCTGTTTCCTGTTGTGATCTCACGCGGGGGGGGGCTGACGTGGCTGCTCGGATAACGAATCTTCGCCAGCGGGAGGGTAGTAGACGTTGTGGATGCCGCTGTTTCCTGTTGTGATCTCACGCGGGGGGGGGCTGACGTGGCTGCTCGGATAACGAATCTTCGCCAGCGGGAGGGTAGTAGACGTAGTGGATGCCGCCGTCAGATGAACGGGTGTCTTCGTACCCTGAGGCTGCTCTCTTCCGTGGCCAGAACGCGCGTGCCCCGGGCCTCTCCCTGCCCGCTCTCTCTCGGCACGACCGTCGCTGCTGTGGCGTCCCGCGGGCCCACGACCCCCCGGGTGACGCCCCAGACGACCACCAGGCCCACGTCCACGAAAAGGTCGCGGGGAGGGTGAGGCTTGGCTCCAGCCACCGCCACCACGGCCGGTGTGGTGCTGCTGCCCGTCTATCCTCACCCATCGCCCGCAACCGCGGCCGGGCCCCGGCGGCGGTCTACCGCCTCGCTGGCTACCGCCGCCCGAGCGGCGTTCCTCGGCGCCCTCTCTCGAACGCGCGCGCCGCAGTTGCTGCTGGAAACGACACCGCTCGTTGGTGTGAAGCTCGGACTGGTGGTAGCGGCAAAATCCGCCGGGGTCTCATCGGTGAGAGCGATATATCCTAACCATTGGACTACGAGGCGCTCGCCGCACGAGATCGCACGACATGTTCACCGGCGAGCAGGGGCCTTTCCGCGTGCTGCCGTTCTTCCAGCCCGGCTTCATGCGTGAGGATCGCCGCATCAAGCTCGACGACCAGGCCACCCTCTGCTACTACCTGAATGGCGGCGATAACCACCCGAGCGGCACCGTCAAGGTCCTCAAGGCGTCCACCGGCCGCGTCGTCTACACCAACAACGTGTCGTGGGTGACGTCGGCGCCAGCCGGCGAGGGGGGTTCCGCTGGTATCACCGCTGCGCCGACACCCCGCCCGTTCACGCCGCCGGTCGTCTCGATCAACTTTGGCCCAGCACCCACGCCTTCGACCGCCGCACCGCCGCCGCCAGCGCCCACGCCGTCGCCCGCTCCCGCTACCGCTACCGTTTCGCCCCCTGCCGCAACGCCGCCGCCAGCGACGACGCCGCCGCCCGCTCCCACGCCAAAGCCGCTCGCTGCCACTTCGCCGTCACCGTCGGCGACCCTCGCTCCTGGCCAGACATCCTCTGCCGCTTCGCCGTCACCGTCGGCGACCCCCGATCCAGACCAGCCGCCGTCGCCGCCGGACCCCGCAATGCCCCCGCTTACGGCTCACGCCATGCGACAGCTTCGCCCGGGTACAAAGACCGAGGGTATGACAGACCCGCGGCTGCCAAGCCGTACGAGATCGGGCACAAGGCACAGCACAGGACTCATCTCGATGCTAGACAAGGACACTTTGGTGCCGATGCTGGAGGCTCGGAGCGCGGTGGATGAGGAGCGCAGGGAGCTGGGGGGGGCGGAGGCCGGAGAGC